TCACGCAACGGCAAACATTTTGATGCCCGCCAGAAGCGGCACATAGTAGTAGTGGTCCTCGAAAAGGGAGTGGTCGGCACTCAGGAGGCACCTCGCCTGGAACTCGTTGACGATGCACCGCCACTTCTCCTTGTTCGAATGGCTCGGCAACCTACCGCCATATTTGCTCCGCACCCACCGCTTCAGGGCGTTCCATTTTGCCTCAATGGCATTCGTGGAGAATCCCCTCTCATTGACGATCTCAGACGCGTCGTGATTCACCATCTCGTGGGGGAGGGTATTCACCGTGAGACCGCGAGATCGGCGCAGCGCCTTCACGGCTGAAATCGTTGCTGCCCACTTATCAGACACGAACGCGTCCCCCTTCTGCAAGTTGAGTAGGCTGATGTTCTCCGGCATCTCCTTGTGGCCGCGCGGTTTACCGTTGGCGGCCTCGTCGGGGTGCTTCAAGATGCGGAAGAGGAAGTGCGTCCGAGACTTCCCTTGGAGGACCGCGCCCCAAATCCACAGCTGGTCTTTCTGCGGCCTGGCGCACTTGTTGAGTTTGCCAGGCTTCCGCTTGTTCAAGAAAGACTCATCCGCAATGAGAGCCCTCTTGTTGATGGTCTTCTTCACCTGCTTCGCGAACTTGCGGCCGACGGGCTTCTTCGCCTTGGTGCTCTTCGCTGGCGCGCGCTTGGTGGCTGTCCTCTTCGACGACTTGGGCGCGGTTTTCATTGCCGCTGGGCGCGAGGCCGATGGCTTGGCAACTTTGTTCGGGCCCTTGTCGGCGAACAGCTTCTTGATAGCCTGCGGCGAAACCGCGTCGTACCAATCCCCAGCAGTCTCGCGGAACTTCGAAATCCAGCTGTCGACGCTCTGATGGTTCACGTTGGACAGCTCCATGACGATTGTCTTGTGGCTATAATCCGCAAGCCACATCACAAGGCAGTCCAACTTGTCCATCCAGTGGCACATGCGCGTGTTCTGGAAGAAGGAGAAGTTACTCGCGGTGACCTTGTCGCCATTGCAGGCCCAGCGCCCGTCGCTGTACCTGGGGCCGATCCAACGGAGCCTGCCCGCGCGATCGCTTTCCGCGTTGTGCTCAATGGTGTAGGGGTGCTCGCACGTCGGGCAATTGTACTCCTTTGGGGCCAACCCCGCTGTCTGGGCGAACACGAACGCGCGGCGCGCCTCGGTGTTGGGGAGCGGGGGCGCATTCTCCACTGACGCGAACTTGACCTTTTCCAAGAACTCGCTGCGAGCACGCCCTTTGATCTCCTTCACCGTGGCCTGGAAGTCAGCCCAGTCCTTGTAAACCGCCATGCGGAACGCGCGACTGGACTTGCGAGTGCTGGGCGAGGATGTTGGACACTTCGCTATGGAGCCTAAACAGCTGCGGGGCAGAGGGAGGGCAGTGTCTCTTTCCGACCGCATGTGGAATAACAGCGGGCATGGCCACCTCGGCTGCAAGTGCCGCTGCAAAGTGAATGTCACGCTAGCGTTTCTCTTCGCATGCTTCCGAACTTTCGTCTGATGTTCCCGCCTGGAGATGAGCAAAACTACGTGGCATGCGCACCCCTCCCTCCCCTCCCCTGCGTCGAGAAGATTCGTGAAGGTACTCGTGTTGAGAACGTTTGAAGATGCTGCTGATGACGATGGTGGTGACATGGGCCCCTTGGAGGGCCATGCCGATGACGATGGTGATGGCAAGTATGTTCTCAAGATGCTGCTGGTCACAATGGTGATGACGTGCATTCCTTTGATGGCCATGCCGATGGCGATGGTGATGACACGTACGTGAATCGAGGTCATGTCGATGACGATGGTGGTTACATGCATCCCTTTGAGGGTGATGCCGGTGACGATGGTGATGACAAGTATGTTCTGGAGGTGCTGCTGATGACAATGGTGATGACGTGCATTCCTTTGATGGCCATGCCGATGACGATGGTGATGGCAAGTGCGGTGCATGCGATGGTGATGGCACGAGCCCCGAAGGGTTCAGCGCCAGGTGATTGGGAGCACGAGCCCCGGAGGGTTCAGCGCTCCCAGTTTCAGTAGCACGAGCCCCGAAGGGTTCAGCGCTACTGGCACCTGGCACGAGCCCCGAAGGGTTCAGCGCCAGGTGAGTGGGAGCACGAGCCCCGGAGGGTTCAGCGCTCCCAGTTTCAGTAGCACGAGCCCCGAAGGGTTCAGCGCTACTGGCACCTAGCACGAGCCCCGAAGGGTTCAGCGCTAGATGACGGGGAGCACGAGCCCCAGAGGGTTCAGCGCTCCCACTGGGGAAGTAGCACGAGCCCAGAAGAGCCAATGCTGCTCAGTCACAAGAAACATTCGAGCATCGCATAGCAATTTTTCGCCGAGGGCGCACATGCCCGTCTCGTATTGGTATCTTCTCTGTCGTCGCGCAGCCCCACGGGCGCGCACAGTTGACGAGGGAGTTCCTGTGCAGAAGCCCTGGCGTGAGGCATGGGTGGCCCTGGGGCCGTGCCGATAAGGAGCAGCAGGAGGAGGAGGAGGAGGAGTAGGAGGAGCAGGGGGACGAGGAGAGGACGCAATGCTATTGAAGTGCTCCCCTCTCTTTGTTCGATCTCCTCCCAGATGGCCCCAAGAGGCGCCGAGGAGAGGTCTCGGGGGCGTAACGGGTGCCTGCGTTTGCAAAGTTTTTCATAAGGCGGCCACTTCTTCTTTTCCGTGATAAACAGGAATCCTTCTGCAATCCGCCACAAAAGGAATCCTTTTGTAACCCGCCTAACAAGGAATCCTTTTGTAATGCGCCGTAAAAGGAATCCCTTTGTAATCGCTAGCAAAAGACATCCTTTTGTAATCCACCACAAAAGGAAATCCTTTGGTAATCCGCCACAAAAGGAATCCTTTTGTAATCCGCCTCAGACAAAATCCTTTTGCGATGCGCCGCAAAAGGAATCCCTTTGTAATCGCTAGCAAAAGACATCCTTTTGTAATCCACCACAAAAGGAAATCCTTTGGTAACCCGCCACAAAAGGAATCCTTTTGTAATCCGCCTCAAACGGACCCCTTTTGTACTGCGCCTCAAAAGGAATCCTTTTGTAATCGCTCACAAAAGGAATCCTTTTGTAATCCGCGACAAAAGGGATCCTTTTGTAATCCGCCACAAAAGGAATCCTTTTGTAATCCGCCACAAAAGGAATCCCTTTGTAATCCGCCACAAAAGGAATCCTTCTGCAATCCGCCCCAAAAGAAATCCTTTTGTAATGCGCCGCAAAAAGAATCCCTTTGTAATCCACCACAAAAGGAATCCTTTTGTAATCCGCCACAAAAGGAATCCTTTTGTAACCGCTTCGGAAATAGACGGCGCCCTCCCCCTCGAACAAGTAAAGGAAAAAGAGGGGAAAAAAAAGAAAAATTAGAAACACCCTGTAAAAACACAGCGAAAAACAGGAAAAAATGCAAGTCTATTGAAGGGAGAGAAGGAAAAATCGGAAAAATTGCAATTACAATAGAAATCCTTTTGTAATCTGCCACAAAAGGAATCCCTTTTGTAATCCCTTACACAAGAAATCATTATGTAATCCGCCGCAAAAGGAATCCTTTTGTAATGTGCCGCAAAAGGAATCCTTTTGTAGAGGACTACAAAGGGATTCCTTTTGTGGCGGATTACATAAGGATTCCTTTTGTAAGGGGTTACAAAGGGATTCCTTCTGTGGCAGATTACAAAAGGATTTCTATTGTAATTGCAATTTTTCCTATTTTTCCTTTTCTCACTTCAATAGCCTTGCATTTTTTCCTGTTTTTCGCTGTGTTTTTACAGGTTTTTTCATATTTTTCCTTTTTCTCCTCTTTTTCCTTTACTTGTTCGAGGGGGAGGGCGCCGTCTATTTCCGAAGCGGTTACAAAAGGATTCCTTTTGTGGCGGATTACAAAAGGATTCCTTTTGTGGTGGATTACAAAAGGATTCCTTTTGCGGCGCATTGCAAAAGGATTCTTTTTGGGGCGGCTTACAAAACGATTCCTTTTGTTGCGGATTACACAAGGATTCCTTTTGTGGCGGATTACAACAGGATTCCTTTTGCGAGCGATTACAAAGGGATTCCTTTTGCGGCACATTACAAAAGGATTCCTTTTGGGGCGGATTACAAAAGGATTCCTTTTGCGGCGCATTACAAAAGGATTCCTCTTGTAGGGGATTACAAACGGATTCCTTTTGTGGCAGATTACTCAAGGATTTCTATTGTATTTTGCAAAGGTTTACGCCCGCTGTCATTTTGCAGGGGGCACCCTTTCACCCCGAAGTCAAAACATCTTAAAAACGCAGCCCCCCGTTACCGTCTCGGAACCGCAGCAGAGCACCCCCCGCCCCGCGCGCGCGCGCCCGCGGCAGGGCCTGGGGGCCCGACGTGCAAGGCCAACGAGCAACAGCTCCACAAACCAGGTCTCGATTTCTCCGCTGGGCCCCGGGAGCTTCACAGGCCAGAACCCAGATCACGATTCCTAGGCCAGACCAAGGGAGCAGCGGAGCGCGGAGCAGCGGAGCCCCCTCCGACCCGTGCGCGCGCCCCCGGCAGTGCCCGGGGGCCCGACGCGCACGGCACCCAAGAAGCAACCCACAGGCCACAACTCAGGTCACGATTCCTTCTTTGGGCCCCGAGAGCTCCACAGGCCAGAACCCAGGTCACGATTCCTTCTGTGGGCCGGGCCACGGGGGCAGCGGAGCAGCGGAGCACTCCCCGCAACGCGCGGGGCCCGACCCGCAAGGCCCCCCAAATCCCCACAGGCCCAAACCCAAGTTACGATTCCTCTTTTGGGCCCCAGGAGTGACACAGGCCAGAACCCAGACCACGATTCCTTCTGAGTCGGCCAGTCTGCCAGTTGCCCAGTCGGCCAGCCGGCCAGTCGGCCAGTCGGCCAGTCGGCCAGTCGGGGAGTTGGGAGTTGGCCAGTCGGCCAGTCGGACGGTCGGCCAGTCGAGCAGTCGGCCAGTCGGCCAGTCGGCGAGTCAGTCAGTCGGCCAGTCGGCCAGTCGGCCAGGGAGGGGGGGGAGTCGGATAGTTAATCCATGATTCCAGAATTTTCCATATGCGACGGGGGAGGGATACAAAATAAAGGGGCTTCCTTTCGACTCGATTACGACCTTGCTAGAATTTTCTCTCGCGAACAAGCTTGAGGAAGAGGGCGCAGTGAAAGGGGACGACGGAAACGACGACTGACGGAGACGACGACTCGAATAAACAAGCCCCTCACACACGCCGACAGGGTCGGCGGTTTCTGCGGATCTCTTCCTCCTCCTCCTCCTCCTCGTCCTCCTCCTTCTCCTCTTCGTCCTCTTCCTCTTCCTTGTGGCTCAAGATTTCTGTGCCCCGCTGCACCGGCTTGGCCCGCTTGGTTTCTGCCGTGCAGATGTTTGTTGCACGCTGGGCCCGCTAAGTTTTGCTCCGCTTCCCCTTTGTCCTTTCCTCTTCCCCTCCTTCCTCCTCCTCCTCCTGCCTTTCGTTTTCCTCACCAGTGGAGCCGCTATGTTTCAAGGAGATTTCGTATCACAGTGGACTGTGCCACTTCAGGCATACATCGAAGATTTTCTTTGGGGAAAAAATGGCTGGCCGGCCTATCGGTACAAATTTAAGTACTTCGCCTTGGCCAGCCCCGCGGTACATATTTATGCGCTTCGCCTTGCCGTTTTGCAGGCTGTTCCACTGGAGGTGCAGTCTTTTGGTGCCCCAGATTGTGGCTCAAGGTTTCTTGAGCTGGGCAGCTCGCAGCCGCGCCGCGCGCCCGCGAGCGTTCCTTCTTGCCGCGAGGGTGCGGTCATCTTGGCACGCGCGGAGCCCGATTGAGCAATGACGTCCGATGGCGCCGCTGCTCCTCTCATCGCGTTTGCGGTGGTGTCCCTCATGATGTTCGATGCTGGCGTCTTGTCATGCGTTGCAGTTTCGGCGGCCACTTATTTTTTTTCTTCTTCTTTGCCTGCTCCACCAGTACCTGCTGTTCCTCGTCGGCAAGGGGCCCGTTCAACGAATAAGGTTCGCAATCGACGAATGCGTGCGTACAAGCTGGGCTTCATCCCTCATCCACCTGATCGACGGACGCGAGGCCAGCAGTCAGCGACCGACTCGCGGGGCTTCCTGGACCGCACGAGGGAGGGCGACGTCAAGACAAAGGCGCCCAGGCACACCTACGGCCCGAACGACGACGATGGTGACATGGGCAGTAATCCCATCGAGCATCTCCTGTCTGCCACATCGGAGTCGGCGTAGCGTGCTCGCGCGAAGTCCTTCCGCGCGCCCGCGGCGAGAGCGACCTGGACACTTTCCCCTCGATGACCATGGGCCAACTGGCAACTCTCGTCCAGCCGGTGGTGAAGGAAATGGCGGAGCGCTTCGCATAATGCCACAAGCTGATGTCCGTGCTGAACATTCGCGTGGACGGTCTGGAGTCCGAGCTGGCGTAGCGCCCACAAGCCGACGATGATGACCAAGGCAGCCTGAGTGGGCGCGAGCTGGGCAGCACGACGTCCGCAACCATATGTTCAAAGAGCAGAAGAGCAGCATGGACAAGTCCACCACGATCGTCGAGCAAACATTCCTTCTGAAGGAGTCCGCTCTTGTCACTTTCGCGGACTTGGACCTCCGAGATGAAGAATGGCGGGGGGACGTCACAGAGCTCAAGTGCCAAACCATGCAGTGCATGCAGCTGCTGGCGGAGGCTAGCTCCTCGCCGAAGGCGGCCCCAAGCACGCCGATAACCTCTTCACTGTCGTTGGCGGCCTCGTACTTCGACGGCCTCGTCGCGAGCTTCCAGGACGATCAATGCATCAACCAGTTCGCCAGTATCTTGGACTTCCAGATCCTCGTCTCGGAGCAGCTCTGGTCTTCCCCTTCATGTACGCCCTCGCCGCCTTCTGCGGCGTCTTCAAGGACTCCTACGACAACTTCTTCGCCGTTTCCGGCGACTTCGTATCCTGAGGACCGCGCGGCGGCGCCGAGCAGCCGAGGCTAGTGCGCACCGTCCCTCTCTGGGAACGTGCGCTCCTCCTTCTCCTCCTCTTTCTCCTCCTCTCCCCTCCTCCTGCTTTTCCTCCGCCTCCTCCTCCTCCCCTAGGCGAGCAGATGTTTGAAGCGCGAGTCTTCGGCGCCACGAAAGATTATTGTATGCTTGTTGTTGTTTGGCTTTCATGGTTCGGGATTTTTTGTCCCGTGGTTTCGGAAACTCCAGTGCCCGCCGCGGCCTCCCTGCCAGAACTTTTCTCTGAGCCTCTGACACCCGAAACGGCAAATCAGCACGCGCAGTGTTTAGTTTATTCCAACACCAGCAAGACCAACACACCCAAACATACATCGTTTTGTAACACCGATGGCGCCAAACACTGTGTATGCTTGTTTTTTGTTGGTTTTGCCGGCTTGGGGATCAACGACGCAGCGTGTATGCTTTTGTTTGTTGTTTTGGGTTTCGGAAGCCCGAGTGCTCGCCGCGGCCTCACCCCCAACGCCTCTTTCTGAGCCTCTGAAGCCAAGTGAACTAACACATCGAAGCGCGTTTCTTTGATTCCCAAGCCAACCAAACCAAAAACACCAAGCGCACAGTGTTTGGCGCCGTCGGTGCCACGAAACGCTGCGTATGCTTGGTTTTGTTTGTTTGTTTTGTTGCTTTGGGAATCAATGAGACACTGTGTTTTTTTGTTTGGTTTCGGAGTCTCAGAGAGAAGTGCTGGGGGGGGAGGCCGCGGCGAGTACTGGAACTTCCGAAGCTAAGAAAACAAAAACGACTAAACATGTACAGTGTATCGTATATTCTCAAACCAACCAAACCAAGACAACCAAACATACGCAGTGTTTGGCGGCCTCGTCGTTTTCAACGGAACACTACGTATGATTTTTGTTTTTGGGCCTGGCTTCGGAGGCTCAGAGAAAGGTGGTGGATGGGAGGTCGCGGCGAGCAGTGGAACTTCCGAAACCAAACAACAACAAACATACACAGTGTTTGGGGCCCTCGTGCCACGAAGCGTTTTTTGTTTGTATTGTTAGTTTGTCATCAACGACATACAGTGTATTTTCCCCAATCAGAGTTTGCCTCTGTAGGGGTCCTCGCGGATTTGTATGGTTAGGTGAGGTGCGTCGCCGATTTCGGTGGCCGGCCTGGGTGCCCGGGTGCCCGGGTGCTCGGGGCTGCCCGGGTGCCTGGGTGCCCGGGTGCCCTATAGCCCTATAGCCCTATAGCCCTACAGCCCTATAGCCTCATAGCCTTATAGCTTTTTAGCCCTATAGCCCTATAGTCCGATAGCCATATAGCCCTATAGCCCTATAGCCTTATAGCCCTAATACCCTACAGCCCTGTAGCCCAATAGCCCATAGCCCTATAGCCCTATAACCCTATAGCCTTATAATCTTATAGCCTTATAGCCCAATAGTCCTATACTCCTATAGCCCTATAGCCCTATGGCCCTATAGCCCATACAGCCCAGGGCCTTATAGTCTTATAGCCTTATAGCCCAATAGCCCCATAGCCCTGTAGCCCTAAAAAGATTATGATTGTGCTTTTCTCAGGTACCATTTCGTTTTTTTGTTGTGTGTGTGTGTATGTGTGTATGTTTTTTTGGTGTCTCAAAGAGGAGTTCTGGGGTGGAGGCGGCGGCGAGCACTGGAGTTTCCGAAACCAGAAAACACCCCAAACCAAACACACAGTTTTTGTTCTGGTTCCCAGACCAGCATAACCATACAGTGTTTGGCGCCCTCGGTGCCGGTGCTGGGGGTGAAGCCGCGGCGTTTGCCGCTATCGACCGAAACCGACATTCTTGCGCGTACGATGCCCTCCCGTAACGGATTGGCCGAGCGGATGAGTTCGTCAGCCTGGATCACAGGCTGATAAGTGAGTTGTCAAACAACGAAGGCTTGTCAGTGAAGCGAAAGTGCGGCTTTGTGAAATCACCGATTCTGTGGATTCGTGCTTTGGGCTCTTGGGGGGGTCGCTGGGACCAACCACATTGACCAAACAGTGATTGCACTTAGGGGTTCGTAGTAATCTCCCTGCGGAATTTGTTGGGTCTGGCGATGATTTTCCCCGTTGCCGCCTGTTGCCGCCTCGTTGCCGCCTCATGCGCTGGGTGGATCGGGTGAGGTTTCGCCACGATGCCGCCTCGTTACCCCTTTGATAGTGCCTCGTGCGTTGTGTGGGTCTGGCAAGGTTTCCCCACGTTCCCGCCTCGTTGCCACCTCGTGCGCTGAGTGTGTCCGGCGAAGTTTCGCCACGTTGCCGCCCGTTGCCGCCTGGTTGCCGCCTGGTGCGCTGGGTGGGTCTGGCGAGGTTTCGCCACGTTGCCGCGAGTTGCCGCCTCGTTGCCGCCTTGTGCGCTGCGTGGGTCCGGCGAGGTTTCGCCTCATTGCCGCCAGTTCTTGCTTTGCCGCCTCGTTGCCGCCTCGTGCGTTGGGTGGGTCTGGTGAGGTTTTGCCATGGAGCCGCCTCGTTGCAGCCTTGTTGCCGCCTTGTTGCCGCCTGGTTGGCTGGGTGGGTCTGGCGAGGTTTCGCCACGTCCCCGTCAGTTGCTGCCTCGTTGCCGCCTCGTGTGTTGTGTGGGTCCGGCGAGGTTTCGCCACGTTGCCGCACGTTGCCGCCCGTTGCCGCCTGGTTGCCGCCTCGTGCGTTGTGTGGGTCCCTCGAGGCTGCCGCGTCGTTGCCGCCTGGTGCGCTGGGAGGGTCAGGCAAGGTTTCGCCACCTCGCCGCCCGTTGCCGCCTCGGCGCCGCCTCGTGCGCTGTGTGGGTCCGGCGAGGTTTCCGATGCCTCGTTGCCGCCTCGCGCGCTATGTGTGTCCAGCGAGGTTGCGCCACGTGGCCGCCCGTTGCCACTTCGTTGCCGCCTTTAGCTTGCACCACGTATGCTGCACCACACAGCTGACACCACATACGTAGTGTGCACTACATAGCTCACACAGCCACAGTGCAATACTTTTCGATTGGGGTTCACGCTGGTTAGCATATACGTGTATTTGACCCATTCCGCCACCGTGCCCAGGTCGTGAATCAGAGGCCTCTTGGAACTCTCCTGGGGTCTCTTGCGGACCTCTTTGGGGCCTCTTGGGCGCCTTTTGGGTGCAACAAGACCTCTTGAGCCGCCTGGGGACGTCTTGGAGCCCTGTGGAGGCTCTTTTGTGCTGTCTTGGCGAGGTCTCGGGCCGTGTTGGGGCCCACTTGGGCCGTCTCAGACTCCTGCAGATGTCGTCTTGTGCTGTCTTGGAGACCTCTTGGGTCCATTTTGGGGTCATTCTGGGTGGTTCTTGTGGCCCTTTGGGGTAGACTTGGAGTCTGAAACCATCTTGAAGCCAGGTTGAGCGGAGAAGCCGAACTCGCGAAATACGTTGAACAACAAGTTCGATGTGACAGTTTCGGCTTCCGGGGGCCTCTCCAGGAGAGTCTAGGACCTATCTTGGAATCTCTTCTAGGCCTTCTGGGGACCATTGGGGCCTGATGGAGCCTCCTGAGGGCCTCCTGCGCCTTTGTGGGCGCTTCTTTGGAGATTATTGGGAGATTCTTGGGGGATCCGCGGGTCGTTTTTGGCGGTCTTGGCCTCTGGGAGGCTCCCGGCACACCCTGGGAGCGCCCAGGAATTCCGGCAGGCTGGCGGCTGGGTCTTTGACTCCCTCAATCCCTCTAATCGGGGGCGGCAAAGAGGGGGGTGATGACTAGGGGGGGGTGGATATCATGGCGTGGGCCATGCTATTTCCCCAGATTTCATGGCGCCTCTTCTTATTTCATTACGTCCCTGGCCCCACCCCCCTGGGCCGCGCACATGCCGCCGGCCATGATTTGCAACCCCCCCCATCTTGGACGCCCCCGCTTTAGGACGCCCCCGATCTAAAATTCACAGCAGCATGAGCCTTGGGCCGAGAAGCTGCGCGCGAGATATGAGCACAGAGTGTGATCAAGCTGCGGACGTCACGGCAGGGCTGGGCCGCTCTCAACTTTCATGTCCTTCTGCTCTGATCTGCTCTGTCACGAGCGCGAGCTGCGAGGATCGGACATCCGTGCCTGGGGGTAATCGTCTCGAGGAGCCCGACAGCCTGGCCGGCAACATTCAGGCGATCGCAAACACGGATCGCTAATCCATGTTTGCGCGCCCCCGAAACATGTGTTTTCTTTTTTTGTGCGGCGATCCTCCTTTCGAATATTTCATCCAGTTCAGTCGGTTGGGCCTCGTCTCTGGTGTGTGAATGTCCTGAGAGGCTTTCTCCACGCGAGGTTGTAGAGGCACTTGCACTCGCCATGCTGTCAAAACATTCTTCCCAAAAGGTAGCTGTGGCAACCTGGGTATCCCAGCGGCCATGCTGGAGAGAATGCTCGGGGAGGCTTCGCAGCGGCCAGCGCCGGAGGCGCCAGGGAGTCATGAAATTGCAGGTCGCCTGCAGGATCCCAGGCAGTTGAGGGTACATGCAATCCCCGATATGAATTGAAGACTCTCCTCACCAAGCAGCCAAAGTCCAGAGCAGCGAGAGCCAGTAGCATCGCTGAATTTTTGGTGCCAGCATCTTCATCAAGTCCGTAAGAGACAAAGCAGTATTCGAGCGACTTCGGGATGACCCCAGCAATCCTGTCAAGAGGACGAGTGGTGTGACAATATTTCTAATACTGGCGCATGTCCAGTGCTGGATGAGTTAGCTGGCAGTTGACGGTGGATTTGTCCGCGTTGTTTTGGACAGTGAGCTCATGCGTAATAACCCAGCCAACGCTTCTCCATGTTTTAGATTACTTATCGCTTCGCTCATTCCGCTGGCCTATATCGTCTCACCGCTGTTGTCAATCTGGTGCTGCTGGGTGGCGGCCGTTTTTCTGAGGAGGTGCGTGAGGAGGACGTCTCAGGAGGAGGAGGAGGAGGAGGAGGAGGAGGAGGAGGAGAAGGCGAGGAGGAAGAACCCGACGTGCGCGGTGCACGTGGTGTCGAGGAGGGGGAGGAGGAGGGGGAGGAGGGAGGAGGAGGAGAGGAGGAGGAGGAGGAGGAGGAGGGGGAGGAGGAGGAGGAGGAGGAGGAGGAGGAGGAGGAGGAGGAGGAGAGGAAAATGACGAGGACGATGAGGAAGGGTAAGAGGAGTAGGAGGAGAAGGAAAAGGAGGAGGCGAAGGAGGAAGTCGCACGATGGCTTCTGAAGAAGCGGCTCTATAGCTTCTTGTGGCACTTTCGGGCCAAATGAGGCCGTCGTGAAGATGCTACTTTGGAAGATTTATGGGGATCTCTTCGGAGCCTCTCGGGGCGTCGGGGAAGCATTTTTGAGACTTCTCTTGGCAGACCTCCTGGGGCTTATTGGCGGTATTTTGGGACCTCCTGGTGCGTCTTTGGGGCCTCTTGAGGGAGTAGTTTGGGCCTCTGGGGGCCTCTTGGGGGCCTGCTGGCTGTATCGGGGGCCACGGGAAAGGGCCCGACATGTCAGCCCCGATTCCCCCTCTGTGGGCTCTCTCTCTTGGGGGCCTCTGGAGCCCTCTTGGGGGTCCTCTCTTGGGGCGGTCTTGCAGGCTTCTTGGGTCGTTTTGGGCAGTCGGGAGCCCGAAAAGGCGTTGACGCCCAACTCCTTCAAAAACCAATGGGAACTCATTATTCTGTGGCCCTCTGGGCCTTCTTGGGGGTCCTTTTGAAGCTGCGATGGGGCGTTTTAGAGGCATCTCTTGGACTGCGAAGAACCATCGTGGACGTCTTGGAGCGCTCGTGGACTGTGTCGGATCCCCTTGGGTTCTCCTGCAGGCTTCGATGACAACTACTGGAGCGCCCTTGGGAGCCCCAAGGGTGACGCCCAGAAGAGAAAACATCCCTGGGTCAGAGGTGCTGGGCTGCGCCTGGGGTACTTCTCGCCAGGGGGCCCCATGGGCCGTCCCGCGCGCGCGATCTTGAACTATTGATACCCTGTTGCCAGAGATCTCAGCATGCCTCTGGCCCGTTGGGCTGGCGAATTGCCAGGCTTCATTGTGGTGGGGTGCAAACCTTTCTCCCGGCGATCCTTTTCCTGCCTACTTTAGCCACCCGCTGGACTGTTGGCGGCAATACATGAAAGCAGAGCAGAGCCACTACATGCGTCAGCAGCAGTTGAAACCAAAGCGCTTTCCACGTCTTCCCTGCCGTCGGACGCTGCCTGCTGACTTCATACGGTTACATAGTGAGAGCGTGGTCAAGGGGTGGGCACACAGCAGTAAGAGGACAAACATCACGAGAAGGAGCATGAGGCCCCAAACCCAGGCGTGTTATATGCATTCACGTGAAGGCTGCTTGGTGTGTGATCCAAGACGGTTTAATTATATGTTCTCCACTGGCATCGGCCGCGGAGCCCACTTGGCTCGGCGGCCCAGGTGCTCTGCAGATGCGTGCCGGCGCCCTTCCCAGTCCTTGTGCTCCTCCTCTTTTTGGTCGTCGTCGTCGTCGTCGTCTTCCTCCTCTTCCTCCCCCTTCTCCTCGCTCCTCCTCCTCGCTTCTCCTCCTCGCTCCTCCTCGCTCCTCCTCCTCCTCTTCCTCCTCCTCCTCCTCCTCGCTACTACTCTTTCCCGCTGGACCGAAGTGGATACCTCTGTTCCGAGGCTAGTTCACTGCAAATTTTTGTCCCACATGATCCGCGCGTGAGCCTCAAGCTTCGAGGGTTCCATTCAGTCAGCGTGTTTTGCCACGTCTCGATTTACACCTTTTGATGCTACCATGTCGCAAGCCGCCGAGGCGACTGGTACGGCTGCACCAAGTTCTCGCAGGGATGGCCTCGCCTCGCCGCGTGTGGGGAGGAGCCGCAGCCGCAAGATCAGGCCTGCTCGTCCACCTGACCCGTAGAGCGACGGTGACGGTCCAGTAACATTGAGCGCACGATGGCCACCATTAGTGACGTGAATGAGCTTCGGACCAGCATCCAGTCAATCAAGACGCGGGTCAACGTGGTCAACAATCGCATGGAGAAGCTCGAGCAGGACGTCACAATCAGCTTCGAGAACGCGCGCCAGTTCGTCTTGCAGGCTGTCGACCAGAAGTACGCGACCCAGATCCAGAAGCTCAAGAACACTGTAGCTGCGTCGGCTGCCCAGGTGGCCCAGATCAAGACGTCAACGTCAGCCTCTTCAGCCGCATCCTCATCCTCTGGTGACAGGAACCACGGCAAACATAGAAAGTAACGGTTACAGAGTTTGGATTGCTGGTTTCCCGCGCCCCCTTCTTGGTCCCTTTCTTCAGCGTCACGCCGTTGCTCTCATCTCTCGTGACGTTCCAGAGATGGTCAAAGCGACAGCCAAGACTCATAATTTCACGATTGCCTCCAACATCACGTTCGACACTCATGACAATGCCAAAGACTTTCTTTCGCGCGTTCTCACGCTAGGCACCTCGCGGACTGACCCGGAAGTAACTCCGACATCGAGCTGGACGTGAGGATAGACGCCGCCCGCGACCGAGATCCGCCGGGTCAACGGTATCCTCGGAGTGCTGTAGGCCAAGGTGATGGACACAAGTTCGGCTCGCAAGGACACCGTGGCAAGCCTTTGGCCCATCACACTTGACGAGGAGGTTCATGCGATGTTCACTCTCAAGGATGTGCAGGCGAAGCTGCTCAATATCGAGGCCAACCATACGGTAATCTACGCGCTGGGCTTCAGTGGCAAACATATCAAGGCCACGGCCGACGCGTTCGTCCATGAGGATAGACGCACGCCATCCCAAGGTGACGCGCAAGACTTCGACATGTCCGTTTCTACTGGTGTCTGCTCTGGTTCTTAAAGGGGGGGTCCTCGCGAGTGGGGTATTTCGGTCGCAGATAGATCCCTAGTGGTGCAGGTGTGTCCCGTGGTTTGGACGCACTTTGGTTTGGATATCACGGCGCCGACTCGGCCAATTCTTCCTCAAGTGGCAGGGGTTGCCCAAGTTCAGGTTTCGCACCGCCTTGCGATCTTCAGCGTGTTCCTCTTCCCCTCTCGTCTGTGAGGTACTACTCTTCGTCGGGTTCCTCGTCTGGTACTTACAGCGGCTCTGCCCCTCCCTCGCCGTGCACAGCGCACGCAGCCACTTCGGTGCCCAGTATGCTCCGCACCACGAACACACGCACATCCAATATAGCAGCTTGCGCGGCTCACACGCACGGATGCTATGGTATGTGTCCAAGAGGCCCGTGGTTCCTTGGAGTCGTTTTGCTCGCAGGCGGAAGGCTTTCAAGTTCGCTGGCTGTGCCGCCTTCCTTCCCGACCCTCACTGCGGCGGATGTATCATCCGCGTCATCCTTCGGGCCCTCGAAGCTTCACCGCTGGTCGCTCATCGTTCGGTTTCCAGAGGGCGCATTCACACGCTTATCTTACACATCAACACGCACGCCATGCAGACCACCACTATTCACAGCGGCCCCGCTTCTCGAGTTAGTGTTCGTAAACTTCTGCGCGAGTGTGTTCGCCGAGCGCTCTGTCTTCGTTCTGTCCGTCGGTTCTGCGTCGCTGGTGACTTTCATGTTTGTGCCCCGTGGTGAGGGCAGCTGCCAGACCGCCAGCAGGATTGTTCAGTCCACTCGCAGTCGTGCCACGCCATTCCGCGATTTGTATCCTTTCACCACCGAGGTTGAGCAGCCACAGTTTACCCATCGTGTTGGGAGAAGTGATGGCGGTAGATCGGCCGTGCTGTCCTTGGCAAGGTTGAGTTGGATTGCCTTTGCCCTACCCGCGCCCGCCCTCCTGGACCTTAGCCCTAGCTCTGAGGCCCTGGGGTTTGTTGCTAATGCGGATGTGCTTTCGGATCCTCTGCCTGTGTCTGCTGTCCTGGCTCCAGAGGCTTTCAGCGGTATCCCGAAGGTCCCGTTGTGGGTCACCGAGCACAGGCTCTACCCCGAGTTTCTCGAGATGTTGCTCGAACACGTGTGCCCGCTATCATGCTGTCCAGTTGCCCGCGCGGAAGAAGTATGAGCCGCAATCCAGCGCGCGGCCAGGGAAACACAGCTGCAGCTTGAAGAGTGAGGCGCAGCCACCACCCCCGAGCTCGTCGGCTGGACGCTGTCAGCCATGCGCGCGGAGCGCGCTGGCCATGTATCTGCGTTGTGCCGTGCGCTTCGTGCGTGCCATCGTCTGCGCGCCTTTTCCGATGCCGGCGCTAGACTGTTCACTGATTACTCTGGGTTCTTCGCTCACTTCAGCTCCCTCGGCGGAAGTCAAATCGGTCGGCAAATCGCCGAAATCCAGAACGAAACGAGAATGCACATCCGCAAGAAGAAGTAACGCGTCAGTTGTATGTGCAGCTGCTGCTCTGCGTGGCATGCTACTGCGGCCGGGATCTCGCTGCAGGCTGCGTCAGACCCGCTCGGGGCCCACTTCCAGTGTCTTCGCGAGGTTGCTCGTGCACTTGACGCTCGCCAGGGATCTGGGCGCGCCGCTGCTCCAGGTAATCAGGATGTGGATGTGATGAATGGTTTACTCGAGCACGTTCGGAGAGTTCACGAGTTCGCTCTGTGGGCACTGGAGGACAAGGAGGAGTTCCATCTCCTGGCTCTGAGGGCTCACGATAGCTCCCCGGGGCCCGACGGTGCCTAGTGCAGCGGATGGCCCAGGTCCGGTGACGTGGGGCTCTCTCCCCTTGTATCAGTTGCACGAGCACATCTTGGTGGGAGGGGAACGTCACGAACAGTTTAATCATGGTTTGAACCTATTTCTGGCTAAGTGGGGGGAGGGCGCGGAGAGGGGGCGGGTGCTCGCAGCTCGTCTCTCGCAGGCAGGCGCTTGCGAGACCCCTCGCGATGCCAAGTGAAGCCGACAAACGGATATCTCTAGCCATGCATCGTCTGTTATGTAGTATTACTTGTGTTCTTGAACAACGTGGATTTATACTTTGACGTGGCGTGACTGAAAATAGCCTGGAGCTAGAGTATTGCGCCTTGCACTCGCGCGTTCAACGATGTGCTCGGCAGAGCGGCATCGTCCCGTGCGATGTGCGTGCCGCGTTCCCGAGCTCGCTGCGCGAAACCATGTTCGCCGCCCTTTTCGCCGTGGGCATGCCCCAGTACATTGTCCGTGCCGTTCGGTGCCTGTGTCGCAATATTCGGGCGTCTATATCATGTCGGGGTTATTGCAATGATTGCGGAAACTGGATGGGGCGGGTGATCGCACGGGGCTGCCCCGTCAGCCGCTCGCTCTTCGTGCTGGCGATCGACCCGATCCTGCGCAGAAGTATGTTCGCTGTTTCCGCGGCCAGTTCACAGCGCGGTGCAGTCGCCGATGATGTGGGCATCGCTTCAGGGGAGATTTTTCGGGCGTTTGCTCGTTGCTTTCATCTTTGGTCTGGGGCTGACCCTGGGTTCGGTTTGTGCGTCGACGCGCGGCTAAAATCATTCTTGTCGGCGGATGCGCGGAAACCGCGTTTAGGCAGGCCATTCTCGACCAGGGCATCAGTGCACCTGGCCCGAAGTTCGCGAATCGCGGGAAGTAGTTATGCGTGCTAGTTGGGCCGAATAACACATGGGATTCTTGGCGACCTGCGCTGCTCAAGCACTCTAAAGGGGTAGTGCTCGCGAAGAGGCTCGTGCTGTGGCTCGCCAAAACAATTGCTCAGCATGACCTTGTGGCGTTGTCTGTTTTCGCGTTCCTCGCCACGATGCTTGCGCCCCCTCCTCGTGCAGTGAAGACTGGGGGAGTTATCTTGCAGCGCCTGGCCGACGACCCGAACATTGCCGCCACCTTCAGCGCGATGCGAGCGCTCGCCTCCCTCGGCGTCCCCGCCCATGCCCGCTGTCTCGCGAGGAAGAGCCGCGCTGCTATGTTTCGTGCTGCCTTTTTCTCGCCAGCGTCCCACAGTGACGAATAACTTGAATTCGCCGATGGTCCAGAATGTTCGAACGCCTGGGCGTTTCATCCGTGGTGGAAATGATCGATCTTGAAAGGCCTCATCGGTAATTTCAGAGGTGCGAGGTCCCCCTCCAGAAAACAGTGCATCAGCGTCTATGTTGACCCAGTGTGTATCCAGGAGGCTCTGGAGCGACGTCTGAGAAACGTGAGCCCTGAAGTAACCCGCGCCCAGTCTGACTATATGAAGAAGGCCTTCTGGAGGGCCTCGATGCGGGTGCCCCCGTCGTTCCTTGCTTCCCATTCAAGACAATATTGAATGTCTGGTCCATCTCTGGCCGTTTTAGAAGTGTTGCGAGCCGCTATATTGCGTGCGGTTGAGCTGGCAGTGACTGCTTGCTGCACATCCTTGAGTGTCCTAAGTTTGATGATTTTAGTGCCTTCTTTCCGCTTCTTCCCTGCCTGTTTCCCTCGCCACAGGGCGTGAGCGCCTGTACAGATACACATATGTATACATACTTATAGAGATGTATGCGTATGTATATGCATGTTTATCTATGTATATATATATATACATATGCACACGGCTTATCCATACTCATGCCTTCATGTACGGGCATGTTTACGCTTATCGTTTATATATATATACACGTACGTACATAGATGTACACACCAATACACATCCACATACATCTATAGTCACATGTGTATTCACCGTTATATGGGTGGCTATGTATATATATGTTTTTCAGTGTTTGCACATATTTTAATCCGCTGTTTACAGGTGTCTTTAGATATTAATACCTTTGTCGTTTTTTTTTGAGTTGAACATCTGTTCCGTCGTCACTTGTTTTTGTTACTTCTATTTACACGTATACGCGTTGCATGTTTGCATACATGTTAATATGTGTATTCTATTTACATGTTTGTATGTGTACTTCAACTTACAGTTTTATTAGTGTTAATATCTCTTGTTGTTCCGAGCCATCATTATTTATAGTTGTCTCTCTATATAGATATGTGTGTGTATATATATATATATATATATTCATCCGTATACTAGATCTTAAAGTGTGTATGTATGCATGCATGTACATCGGTACACACTGATACGCCCCTTTTCCACTGATGCCTTTGTGCCGATAGTTCTTCATTTGTACGTTCACGTCCACACAACGTGCGTTGTGAAGCAAAGGCCCCGACCTAACATGATGTCAGTTGCCCAAGCGCGCCTCCAACAGATTACCCGTAGGGATGCCTCGTTGGCGCCACTGCTCGGGTGCCCGCCGCAGGACCCCGCGGGGGCGAGGCATGCGCGTGGGGACGGAGGCATCGTATGAAGGTATCGAATTAGGGCCGGGCCGGCCTAAATCTTTGCCTCCCTGGCCCAGTTCAGTCCTCCTCCTCCTCCTCCTCCTCCTTCTCGTCCTCCTCCTCCTCATCATCATCCTCCTCCTCCTGCTCCTCCCCTCCTCCTTCTCTCCCTTCCTCCTCCTCCTCCTCCTCCCTCCTCCTCCTCCTCCTCCTCCTCCTCCTCCTCTCCTCCTCCTCCTCCTCCTCTCTCTCTCTCTCTCTCCTCCTCCGCCACCTCCTTCTCCCTCTTCCTCATCTTCCTCTTCCCTGTATTTTCCTCCTCCTCCTCCTCATCCTCCTCCTCCTCGTCCTCCTGACCCTCGTCGAGCAACTGTTGCCTGGCGCCCGGCCACCAAACACCGGCCATTCTCTTGGGGGGGACGGACGCGCCGGCCAGGGCCTGCAGCCTGCGCTGCCCGCCAGCGATGGCCAGCGCGAGGGAAAGGGCTCCGCAGCCTCCCCCCCTCCTCCCCCCCGCCCGGGGAGGGGGAGACGACCTGGAGGCAGGGCTCCGACCCGCCCGCGCTGCCCCTGCGGTTGGGGGGCCTGCCAGCCACCAGCTGGCGGACGCGCGCGGCTTGCGACGTGCGTCCTCCCAGGCCCAGACCCCCGGCGTTTTGATTTTCTCGCGCCGTGGATTTCTGGAGGTCTTGGAGCCCTTCCCGAGGCTGTTTTTGGCCGGCCCCAGGTTTCGAAAATGGCCGAACATTGTCCCCCACAACCTCCCGGCTTTTCTTTATTGTCTCCGATTATCCTGGGCCCTCGGCATGTATCAACAGCGCCCCGCGTCCACTCCTCCTCCCACCTCCCCCGCCTTTCTCCCTTGTCGTTATTTCGGCACACCCCTCACACACTTTGTGGCCCCATAGGGAGCTCCACCGATGGCCCCTGTGGGCGGGTCCGCATGACGCCACCGCGCCCATGTCGGTGCGCACTTCACGCGTTCCGTGGCCCTGTAGGGAGCTCCACGGAAGACTCCAGTTGAAGTGTCCCCATGGCGCCACCGCGCTCATTTCGGCACACCCCGCACGCGCCTCGTGGCCCCATAGGGAACTCCACCGAAGGACCCAGTGGGAGGGTCCGCAGGGTACCACCGCACCCATTTCGGCACACGCACGCATACACACGTCACGCGTTTCGTGGCCCCATAGCTCCTCCGAAGGCCCGTGTGGGAGGGTCCGCATGGCGCCACCGCGCCCATTTCGGCGCACCACTCACGCGTTTCGTGGCCCCATAGGGAATCCCACCGAAGGCCCCAGTGGGAGGTCCGCATGCCGCCACCGCACCCGTTTTGGCACACACCTCACACGCTTCGTGGTCCCACAGGGAATTCCGCCGAAGGCTCCATAAGATTGTCCGCATGGCGCCACCGCGCCCGTTTCGGCACATCCTTCACACGCTTCGTGGTCCCACAGGAGGCTCCACCGAAGGCCCCAGTGGGAGGGTCCGCATGGCGCCACCGCGTACGTTTCGGCACATTCCTCACGCGCTTCGTGGCTACATAAGGAGCTCCACTGAAAGCCCCAGTGGGAGGGTCCGCATATCGCCACCGTGCCCATGCCGGCACACCCCGCACGCGCTTCGTGGCCCCATAAGGAATTCCACCGAAGGCCCCAAAGGGAGGGACAGCATGGCGCCACCGCACCCATCTCGGCCCCCCCTCTCACATGTTTCGTGTTCCCCCTCTCCTTCGTTCCACCTGCCTGGCGATACCCGCAGCTGCATATGGTTTGGTTTTGGGTTCCAGTTTGGTTTTGGGATTGTTTCGTTCTCCCCACAGCATAAGATGGGGCTCTTGTTCTTACTTAGACGCCGCCGACTCCTTCACACCACCTCTCCCCCTCCTCTTTTCTCGTCCTTATCCAGATTCAGTTCGTTTATTCTGAATCGCTCCGACTCCCTCGCACGCAGACTCACTCACATTCAGGCTCGCTCAAATCAGATCCACTCATGTTCACATCTACTAATATCCAGACTCACCCATACTCATACACTCATACTCACACTCACTCGCACTCATACTCACTCACACTCAGGCTTACTCACGCTCAGGTTCAGTCACACTCGGACTCACTCATACTTAGGCTCACTCACACTCGTATTCGCTCACACTCAGACTCGCTCATACTCAGACCCGCTCATATTCAGACTCACTCGCATTCAGATGCACTTAATCATGGTCACTCATACCCAGACTCACTCGCACTCAGACTCACTTAACTCAGACTCACGTGCACTTAGACTCACTCGCGCTCAGACCCACTCACTCTCAGACTCGCTCGCGCTCAGACTCACTCACTCGCAGACTCAGTCAAACTCAGACCCAGTCAGACTTGCGACGCACTCACACTCAGACTCGCAGAGTGCGAGGATGGCTCAGGCGAGGCGCAGGCTTCAGCACCCCAAAGGGGAGCCGCCAGGGGGTATCTTATTCCTTTTTTTGCGCCCAGATCCATTGCCGGGATGTCTCAGGCGGTTTGCCGTTTTGGCTACCCAGACTTCGCTGCGTTCATTGCATATCGTGAGGATGTCTTAGGCGAGGCGCTGGCTGCAGGACCCCAAGGGGCAGTCGTCAGGTTTTTTTCACGGGCCCGTTCGCGCCCAGCGTCGTCGCTGTCGTAGTCGTTGTCGTCGTCGTCGTTGTCGTCGCCGCACCCGTCGTCTACTCGGACTGGCTTTTCACCCAGATGCTCACAGACAAACGCCCTCAGCGAGACAAGCCTTGAATACGAGATACACATATGGGTTTCTCCGCGTCGAGTAAGTTGTTTTTGCCTTTTGCACGACTCCTAAAGAGGGCCCTTTCGGGGAGGGGCCAACGCATTTCGCCGCCATCCGTTTTGTGATCTGAGTTGCGCAGGTTTGTGACGCGCGTGGCCTGACATTGCTTGGCGAAGAGTTTTGGAGTGCTGCATCTCTTGTACGCCGTGGTCGTTTGCAAGAACGTTCATATACATAGTCGGCTCGCGTGGAGGAGGAGGAGGAGGGAGGAGGAGGAGGAGGAGGAGGAGGAGGAGAGGAGGAGGAGAGGAGGAGGAGGAGGAGGAGGAGGAGGAGGTTGGGTGCGTCTCGGGACATGTTTTTTGTCTTGCCTTGCCAGTCTTGCTGTCTTTGTTGTTTCACGACTCCCGACGAGTGCCCCATGCGGGGAGGGGCCGCCGCAGCCTCCCATCCAGGCGGTGCTGAGGGCCATGCGGAGCGCCGGCGCCCCGGGCGCCCCCGCGAGCCGTGGCCGCAGCCGGAGCCCGCGCACCAGGCGCGGCCCGTCCCTCCGCCGGTCGGGGGAGGAGGAGGAGGAGGAGGAGGAGGAGGAGGAGGAGGAGGAGGAGGAGGAGGAGGAGGAGGAGGAGGAGGAGGAGGAGGAGGAGAA